GTTTCCCGAGGTTATAAATACCTCCCTTAATCCTCATTAAGAAAAAAGGCAGATTACACACATTAAACTCTCTCACCTAAAGAGACCCAATCACTTTAATTTCCGCATTAATTACTCCTTAATCAAGTACTAACTTGACCGTTGGAGGCAGATCTCCAATCATCCGGAGCATCCGTTTGTTTTGCAGGTACAGGCGTCCGGTTCCAGTCTCGGAATTGTAACTCTCCCGCAGGACATCAGAAAACCCCGAAACAATAGGTATTTTAAAATTTAAAATTTTTGATTACGTTATATATGATAACAAATTAGACTTTGTCAATAAAATATTTTGCCAAAATTTTAGCCAATGTACAATATTTGGTAACCATATTTAACTTTGAATTATTAGCTTATACATCTATAAATAAGTTTTTTAACCTTAAGAATACAACCAGTATATTGTTTCAAAAAAAACATAATCTACAAATACTTTCATATCTACGATTAATTCCTCGTAAAAAATTTGAATGGATGATACGGATAATCCATTTAGTAAACATTTTGGTTTGGAAAATTCATCAAATAGTGGAAATTTCACCTGCAAAAATTCCTACCCTCAAACACACTACCACCCTGGCTACTATTATCCCAATACTACAATGCCTAATTTGCAAGACAACATGTCAAGCTACCATCCTCGGCACCCGAAGAGGCTTTTGTTTAAAGAAAAGCAAGAGAGTGCAAGGAAAGATGTTGAGAGGGCATTTGGGGTACTCCAATCTCGTTTTGCTATAGTTCGTGGGCCTGCACGTTGTTGGCATAAACGCAATATCCACGATATTATGGATGCGTGTATTATATTACATAATATGATTGTTGAAGACGAGCGTCACACTTATAACAAAAACTTTCCTAACGATGAATTTTCACCAAGTGTTGTTGATGATGTGCATCAAGGACATGAAGAGAATTTTGAGTCATATCTTGAAAGAGATGCAACAATCCGAGATAGACAAATGCATCACCAGCTAAAGGCTGATTTAGTTGAGCATATTTGGTCACGTTTTGGTAGCTATAACTTGAATTGATCTTAAGTTGCTAAGTTGTTTTTTTGTTTTTTTTTGTTTAAGGAATGTTGTTTTGTTAATTAGTTTTATTTAGTTGTATTGTCAAATGTTGATAATAAAATATGCAAATAAATTTAGGGAGAAAAGTTATCAATAATTTTTTTTTATTTTTTTTTATTTTTTATTAAATACTTCGTACAAGCTCAAATAATTAAATCGCAAGCAAGTCGTCTTATAATACAAGTACAAAACAACTTATATGAAATTATATAAATTATTGCATATAAATTTTAATATTGATAGCAGGCACAACTTATAAAATTATATTATAAATTAGAATTTTTTTGGTAAAAGTAAGTAAAATAGCAATGAAATTTTCAGCTCATATAGTGTAGTAAATAAAGTATTACATGCAAGCTACAAAATTATATAGCCAACCATTGGAGTACTTTGTAGCTTGAAATAATGATGTGGCAAATCAAGCAACAACTTCTTGTAGCTTGCCATTGGAGGACTTTGTAGCTTAAATAGGTTATAGCCTTAAAAATTAACATGACAAAGCAAGCTACAAGCCTTTGTAGCTTACCATTGGAGATGCTCTGATTTCATCTACCCTAAAAACTCAAAAGAGTATTACCAAACCCTTAATTTCTAGTCACAAATCAAATTTACTTAAATCAAAATCCTTCAAAGAAGTGACCGCAAAGAGTACATCGATGCACTTGATCAAGGCTTCCGGTAATTCATTGCTGCCGCGTAATGGGATCGTCACAAAGGCTGTCGGACGTAAAGCTGTCGTCTCTAAGGCAGTTGCTGTGCATAGTGTTCCAACACTCCCTCCAAGTGTTCTTGAAAAGAGAAGATATAGTAGAGATTACTCTTTCTTACTTGAAGCGAATTGAAGAAAATCATCAAGAATTGAGACGATATATATGTGTTATTAATTAATTAGTTAGTTTTGGAATATAAATTATATATATCCAAATTGAATCTTTACGTTCTACTGTACTAGTATTGTTCTGTTTATTTTCAAGAGCTTTCTAAATTGATGCCTTGTTTTTCTAAGAATTTTCTGTACCATACAATTATTTTGACAAAAGGGCTAATGTGTGTGTATATATATATATATATATATATATATATATATATATATATATATATATATATGATTATTAATTGATCTATTAGCAATCCTACCAAGAATATTGTTCTCTAATAGTCTAATGTTTGCCTCGTAATTATATATGACAATTAGTTTGTAGTTTTGTACTAATGCTGCTTTTATACATATTTTTGTAGTTTTGTCAAAAACTACATACTAAAAGAGGGATACCAGTTAATTTCCCAGATAAACAAATTTATCTGGGGGAATAGTTATCTTTTAAAGTACCAGTGGAGGGGTATATGTGTTTTTTCATGTACTAGTTGAGGGGTACATGTGTAATTTTCTCACCAAACAGTAAAAGCAAAAAAGCAAACACTAATTGGACAGCTCACCAAAAGTACTGAATAAATGACACTGCTTTTTCAATATATTTACAAAAATGCCATCAAATTATCAAAAATTCGTTTATCTATCAGATTAACTTATATTTTTCCCATATTAAAAGCCATTTTTTGTGAGAAATTACCTATTAAAATGAAAATGTTGTAAAAGACTACAATTTCACCGGATTGGCACTCTTGACTATATTTCCGGCGTTGACCACCTACTTGCCAATCACGTGGACTTTTAAAACCTTTATTTTTCCATGCCCCACCAACAATGCCACCTATCATGTGACCGGCCGAACATGGTCAACGCCGGATAAATTAGTCAAAGACGAAAATTCGACTAATAATAACTTTTTTACAACATTATTTGCTTTAATAGGTAGTTTTTTTACAACATTTTAATTTTCAAAAACTTTTGTATACACCCGTTTTACACTAATTTTACTGTACATCGAGCAGTATAAGGGTAACTTTTATCTAATTTTAGGGTAACTTTTTGCCTTTTTTTGGGTAACTTTTAACATAATACAATTTTTATATAAATAGACAATAAGAAAAGTTTAATAATGGTAATTTAATTACATTTAATCACAAATAATTGATTTTTAGTCATTTCAAATGTGATTCTTTACTAATAATTTTTATTTGTATTGGATTACTTTTATGCATATTAGGGTAACTTTTATTTATTTTAGGGGTAACTTTTGATCAATCTAGTCTATCTTTATAGTGGATGTGCAATAATTATTGTACACCCGATTTTTTTAAAAGTTTGTGTTTAATTTTATTAGGTTGATTCATACAACATTTTTTTTATAAGGTGGTTTCTCACAAAAAATGCTTTTAAAAGGTAGTTTCTCACAAAAAATCCTTCTTTAAATACTCTCTCCGTTTTTAAATACTTGCTTTACTTTCCTTTTTCGGCCGTTTATAAATACTTGCTTCATTTTCTTATTTGGAAAGCTTTTACAATATTTAATTAATTTCTCTCACTTAATGGAATCCATATATATTCTCTCTCTTCCAATTCTCTCCACTACTTTTGCCTTTTATAATTTTTTATTCTTCCACCAACCCCACTACCTCCATATTTTATTACTTTCTCCAATTTCTCCTAAAACTCCGCGCAAAAATGGAACAAATATTTAAAAACGGATGGAGTACTATTCTTACTATTAAATTCTATCTGTGTTAATACATCATACTTCCTCCGTTCTATTAATATTGCAACAATGGACTTTTTACTCTATTCATCACTCTTGTTTGACCATATAATACGAGTTATACGTTAAGTGAAATATAGTCAAGTGAGATCTTGTTGGATTTGTTTCATAAAATACTTTCACAATATCAACTTTTTATATTTTTTCTCTTACACAATTATAGATATTTAGCATATAAAATGTGTTTTGGGATGCGTAATTTCCTCTTTGTTACAATATTAACAGAACGGAGGAAGTATATCTCTAAGAATATTATTGAAATATAACATGTATGAAAAATTAGGCTTTACTTGAAATGACGAAGTTGGCCTAATATAATAGAGACTGCAATTGACACGACTTTAATGACTTATATAATGACCTAATTGTATCATTTGAACTTATAAAAGACCACCCAAAACAATAATAATTTTGTAACAACGTCAAAATTGAGGTAATTAGCAAAGTTTCTTTGTTGGTATGTAGTTGATGAGATTTTATTATAATTTCCTTGTTGGTATTATTTTTATCCCTTAACTGCTTAACATACAATAATATACATAATTCCAAAATCAAATGATACTCACCATGTGCTTTAACCTATGTATATATGCAACTATTAATCAACCAAACTCTACTAGCTCCATTCTTTTATCAACTCTAAATCAATAAAATCTTTTTTTTTTTTTAATTTTAAAAAATATCAAACTACAATAATTTAAATTATTTATCATCCTAAAAAGGTACGCAAAAGATAAATGAGACTTTATTTAAAAACTTTAAAACAGAAAATATAATAAGTGACATGCATGAATCATGATGGACCATTAGGAATACATTCTTAGTGTTACAAACAAAGTACCCCTTCGTTTTTTTTAGCTACACTTGTTATTTTCGTCAGTTATTTTAGAGCTACATTCTCTTTTGGAAAACCCTTGTAGTTTAATATTATATCTTCACCCACTAATGTTACACAATTTCTCTTAATTTAATACTCAATCTTCCAATAGTCCCCACTCAATCTCACACCAATTACTAAATAATTGACACGACATATTTTGTAGACTAACTTCTTTGTTAAGTATAGACCTCAGACAGTGGCGGATCCAGAAATCATAAGCAGCGGGGTCACTATAAAAATAATCTACTATTCAAGCAAATTTTATAACTATTAAAAATTAAAAATTCCACAAAAAAAATTATAAGTCATATAAAATCCTTGAAAAACAGTCATGTAAAGTACAGTACATAAATAATTCTAAGGTAGTTGCCCTCGACGAGGTTTCATATTTTGAAAGTGGTACATAACAGTTTCATTGGAAATAGTCTCACAAATATCCCTTTCAATGTATGCCACCAAACAATCATTCAAAAAGTGATCACCCATCTTATTACGCAATTCGGACTTCACATATTTCATGGCAGAAAAGGCTCTTTCCACACTTGCAGTCGCAACTGGTAAAAGCAATGCTAGCTTTATGAGAATATTTACCGATGGATATATCACATATTTCCCTGTTTCAACCATCACTTTACAAAGATCACCAATTCAACAAGACCTTGAAACTCATCACGTTGTCGCACATCAATGATAAAGTTTCTCAACTCAGAAGAAATTCCCCTAATATCATTTGAATCAAAATCATAGGGATATAGTTCTGCCATTCTTACCAATTTCACCACATCAAAATTATGGAATGAGTTCTTAGGACACAAGCAAGCCACACAACGGAGCAACTCCGTATTGATTTCATTGAAACGATTGTTAAGCTCTTGAAGTTGTAAATCAATAGTAGCATAAAACACCTCTACACGATAGTGATGTTCATAAGTGATTTTTGGAGCATTTCTCTTTGGTCTTCCTGGAGTCATATAAAAATCATTCATGTTAGGAACATCAATATCATGACCATAACAAAACTGATTTACCTTTTCTAACAAATCCTCAAACTCATCATCTCTCATCAATTGGTGGCGTTGCTTGGATGCTCCGACCAAATCCATTGCATTGATAATATCTTGATCCTCCGTTTGCAATGCTAATGATAACTCATTTGTGATACCCAAAATATCAAACATGAGGTGCAGTATGAATGCAAAATCAAATGAGTGTAATGAAACCATAAGACCACGTGCATTCTTTCTATGTCCCGAAAAAGAAGCATCACTATAAATGAAATCCAATACATCAATCACATATGGGTACAACTCAATCAAATTCAACAATGATTTATAATGAGATCCCCACCTTGTTTCCCCCAGTCTTTTTAGACCAAGTTCTTGGTTTAACCCCTTTCCAGTTTCAATCTCACCATTATTTATTTGCTCTGCAACTCTCATGGCACGTTTTTCTCGAAGAATATCTTGTTTCTTACAAGAAGATCCAACAACATTGAGTATATCAGAAACGACATCAAAGAACCAAATTACATCAACATGATTCTTAGAAGTTCCTACAAGTGTTAATTGTAACTGATGGGAAAAACAATGAACATAATAAGCTGACCTATTTTCATTCAAAACCAATGTTTTAAGTCCACCAAATTCACCACGCATATTACTTGCCCCATCATAATCTTGTCCTCGTACACTTGTCATACTTAACCCATTTTCCAACAATAAAGATTCAATGGCAGATTTGAGAGATATGGCACAAGTATTAGGAACATGCATAAGTCCAAGAAAGCGTTCCACAACCAAACCCGACTTATTAACAAAACGCAACACAACAACCAATTGCTCTTTGACAGAAACATCACTAGATTCATCAACTAGTATGCCAAACAAATCACCTCCAAGTTCTTCAATAATAGCTTTAGTTGTTTCCTTAGCACATGCATGCACAATATCTTTTTGAATACTAGGAGCAGTCATTTGTAGATTTTTGGGAGCATTGTTTAACACAACTTTATCAATTTCACCATTCAAAACAGCAGCAACTTTTACAAGTTCAATGAAATTTCCCCGATTACTTGACTCATCAGATTCATCATGACCACGAAATGCCAATCCCATCCGCAACAAATATCTAACACATACAATAGATGTATTTAAACGAGTCTTATAATCATTTTTCATTTGAGGTGTTTGCAATGGATTGAATATTGTTTCAATGGAAGCATGGACATTTTTCAGATTTAAATATTTTTCAACAGCTTTACTGTGTGAGCTTTCAATATCACCAACATGAAAATCTAACCTATCCTTTTTATTCCAATATGAAAATCCATCAACAACAAAAGCATCACCCCCACCTTTATACCCCTCAGGTTTGAACAAGTAGCAAGGCAAACAAAACAATGCATCTTTTTTAATGCTATATTCTAACCAATTGCTATAATCATCATACCAACTAGAGTTAAATCTTCTCCACTTATTGCCAATCAATTTTTGGGGAAAGATATGAGTGCGAGGTTGGATAGGACCGGTGGTATTAAGTTTTTTTTTCTTACCGCCTCTTGGAATTTAGAAGGATAGTCTGAAATTCGTGTTCTTTCTGCCGGATCAATTGGAAGATTTTCTAAATCAACTTGCTCATCACAATTAGGAACGGGTTTAGACGATTTTGGGGTACTCCCACTTGTACCTTCATCCGCTCTATCCTTTTTCCTTATTATAAATTTGTCCATAACTGAAAAAAATATGAAATATGCATATATTAATTAGAGTCTAGACAATAACAGTAAAAAAAAATCTTGTCACTTTCGAACATTCTAGAAGGTATATTAACATGTTGTATAGGTTAATACTTAAAAGGTATAAATCTAATCTAACTATTAACAAATATTAATAATTTGATACTTAAATAATTCATATAAACTAAAATTAAAATTAAAGAACATAAAAAATTAAAAACCAAAAAAAAATTATAATAATTTACCGTCAGACTCAAATGCAGGTCGCAGCCGCACAGCCAAAGCGTGAATATTGTCTATTGATTGTATTCTTCTTGGATGATTGGATTAAAAAAAATAGGTTTTGCTTTTGAAGGTTTGACTTTTGATTGTTGGGTGAATTTAAAAAGTGTAGTTTTATACTAATATTAACAAGAAAGAGAGTAAAGAAGTGGAAGAACAAAGAAACAAACTGTAGAAAAAGTCTACATTCACTTACAAAAATAATAAAGAAAAATAAAAATAAAATAGGATAGTCATAATAGGAAGTCTTGGAAACGTAAATTAGGGATATAAATTTTATCTTTATTTTTTTTACCTTTTTTTTCTAAGAATATGAAAAGTCTCTTAAAAGTGGTCAAATAGGGGTCACTTTTTAGCTATAAGTGGGGTCATCTTTGTATATATAATATTTTTTTTCTGTACTAGCTTTTTAATTTATAGAAATTTTTTTCACCAAGTGGGTTCCAGTGCCCCCCCTTATTTCCACATACATCCGCCACTGTACTTGGTATAGTTGGTAAGAGATTTACTGTACTTGGTATAGTGGAAGGCTGGCGGATGTATGTGGAAATAAGGGGGGGCACTGGAACACACTTGGTGAAAAAAATTTCTATAAATAAAAAAGCTAGTACAGAAAAAAAATATTATATATACAAAGATGACCCCACTTATAGCTAAAAAGTGACCCCTATTTGACCACTTTTAAGAGACTTTCCATATTCTTAGAAAAAATAAGGTAAAAAAAAATAAAGATAATTTTTATATCCCTAATTTACGTTTCCAAGCTTCCTATTATGACTATCCTATTTTATTTTTATTTTTCTTTATTATTTTTGTAAGTGAATGTAGACATTTTCTACAGTTTGTTTCTTTGTTCTTCCACTTCTTTACTCTCTTTCTTGTTAATATCATTATAAAACTACACTTTTTAAATTCACCCAACAATCAAAAGTCAAACCTTCAAAAGCAAAACCTATTTTTTTTAATCCAATCATCCAAGAAGAATACAATCAATGGACAATATTCACGCATTGGCTGTGCGGCTGCGACCTGCATTTGAGTCTGACGGTAAATTATTATTATTTTTTTTTGGTTTTTAATTTTTTATGTTCTTTAATTTTAATTTTAGTTTATATGAATTATTTAAGTATCAAATTATTAATTTAATAGTTAGATTAGATTTATACCTTTTAAGTATTAACCTATACAACATGTTAATATACCTTCTTGAATGTTCGAAAGTGACAAGATTTTTTTTTACTGTTATTGTCTAGACTCTAATTAATATATGTATATTTCATATTTTTTTTCAGTTATGGACAAATTTGTAATAAGGAAACAGGCTAGAGCGGATGAAGGTACAAGTGGGAGTACCCCCAAATCGTCTAAACCCGTTCTTAATTGTGATGAGCAAGTTGATTTAGAAAATCTTCCAATTGATCCGGCAGAAAGAACACGAATTTTAGACTATCCTTCTAAATTCCAAGAGGCGGTAAGACAAAAATATATTACCATTGGTCCTATCCAACCTCGCACTCATATCTTTCCCCAAAAATTGATTGGCAATAAGTTGAGAAGATTTAACTCTAGTTGGTATGATGATTATAGCAATTGGTTAGAATATAACATTAAAAAAGATGCATTGTTTTGTTTGCCTTGCTACTTGTTCAAACCTGAGGGGTATAAAGGTGGGGGTGATGCTTTTGTTGTTGATGGATTTTCATCTTGGAATAAAAAGGATAGGTTAGATTTGAATGTTAGTGATATTGAAAGCTCACACAGTAAAGCTGTTGAAAAATATTTAAATCTGAAAAATGTCCATGCTTCCATTGAAACAACATTCAATCCATTGCAAACACCTCAAATTAAAAATGATTATAAGACTCGTTTAAATACATCTATTGTATGTGTTAGATATTTGTTGCGGATGGGATTGGCATTTCGTGGTCATGATGAATCTGATGAGTCAAGTAATCGGGGAAATTTCATTGAACTTGTAAAAGTTGCTGCTGTTTTGAATGGTGAAATTGATAAAGTTGTGTTAAAAAATGCTCCCAAAAATCTACAAATGACTGCTCCTAGTATTCAAAAAGATATTGTGCATGCATGTGCTAAAGAAACAACTAAAGCTATTATTGAAGAACTTGGAGGTGATTTGTTTGGCATACTAGTTGATGAATCTAGTGATGTTTCTGTCAAAGAGCAATTGGTTGTTGTGTTGCGTTTTGTTCATAAGTAGGGTTTGGTTGTGGAACTCTTTCTTGGACTTATGCATGTTCCTAATACTTGTGCCATATCTCTCAAATTTGCCATTGAATCTTTATTGTTGGAAAATGGGTTAAGTATGACAAGTGTACGAGGACAGGGTTATGATGGGGCAAGTAATATGCGTGGTGAATTTGGTGGACTTAAAACATTGGTTTTGAATGAAAATAGGTCAGCTTATTATGTTCATTGTTTTTCCCATCAGTTACAATTAACACTTGAAGGAACTTCTAAGAATCATGTTGATGTAATTTGGTTCTTTGATGTCGTTTCTGATATACTCAATGTTGTTGGATCTTCTTGTAAGAGGCAAGATATTCTTCGAGAAAAACGTGCCATGAGAGTTGCAGAGCAAATAAATAATGGTGAGATTGAAACTGGAAAGGGGTTAAACCAAGAACTTGGTCTAAAAAGACCGGGGGAAACAAGGTGGGGATCTCATTATAAATCATTGTTGAATTTGATTGAGTTGTACCCAGATGTGATTGATGTATTGGATTTCATTTATAGTGATGCTTCTTTTTCGGGACATAGAAAGAATGCACGTGGTCTTATGGTTTCATTACACTCATTTGATTTTGCATTCATACTGCACCTCATGTTTGATATTTTGGGTATCACAAATGAGTTATCATTAGCATTGCAAACGGAGGATCAAGATATTATCAATGCAATGGATTTGGTCGGAGCATCCAAGCAACGCCTCCAATTGATGAGAGATGATGAGTTTGAGGATTTGTTAGAAAAGGTAAATAAGTTTTGTTATGGTCATGATATTGATGTTCCTAACATGAATGATTTTTATATGACTCCAGGAAGACCAAAGAGAAATTCTCCAAAAATCACTTATGAACATCACTATCGTGTAGAGGTGTTTTATGCTACTATCGATTTACAACTTCAAGAGCTTAACAATCGTTTCAATGAAATCAATACGGAGTTGCTCCGTTGTGTGGCTTGCTTGTGTCCTAAGAACTCATTCCATAATTTTGATGTGGTGAAATTGGTAAGAATGGCAGAACTATATCCCTATGATTTTGATTCAAATGATATTAGGGGAATTTCTTCTGAGTTGAGAAACTTTATCATTGATGTGCGACAACGTGATGAGTTTCAAGGTCTTGTTGAATTGGTGATCTTTGTAAAGTGATGGTTGAAACAGGGAAATATGTGATATATCCATCGGTAAATATTCTCATAAAGCTAGCATTGCTTTTACCAGTTGCGACTGCAAGTGTGGAAAGAGCCTTTTCTGCCATGAAATATGTGAAGTCCGAATTGCGTAAGATGGGTGATCAATTTTTGAATTATTGTTTGGTGGCATACATTGAAAGGGATATTTGTGAGACTATTTCCAATGAAACTGTTATGTACCACTTTCAAAATATGAAACCTCGTCGAGGGAAACTACCTTAGAATTATTTATGTACTGTACTTTACGTGACTGTTTTTCAAGGATTTTATATGACTTATAATTTTTTTGTGGAATTTTTAATTTTTAATAGTTATAAAATTTGCTTGAATAGTAGATTATTTTTATAGTGACCCCGCTGCTTATGATTTCTGGATCCGCCACTGACCAAGTACTATTTGTTTACTTATATGCATATAATTTATAATATAAATGATCAAAATATTAGAGATGAAATTGGAAGTTTTGTCTCTAAATTAGGGACAAAATAAAAAATTCGTCTCTCTTTTAGAGACGAAATTCAAATCGTCTCTATTTGATGTCATTATAGCAACAAATAATAAGAAGAGTGTCTTCAAATAATTTTATACATGATAGCAAAAAGTGTCCTACGTATAAATTAACAACAAAATGTAACACAATTTGTTTCCATTGGCAACAAATAAAAAAAATATGTTATCATCTGGCAGCAATAGTTTAGACGACTTGTTTATGATGGCAACAATTCAGAAATTCATTGCTATTGTTTGTTTCTAAATCAATACAAATAAAATATTTGTTGCCATAGTTTGTTACTATATGGCAACAAGAGAAAAATACGATGCCATCTAGTAACAACTAGTAAGACAATTTGTTTTAAACAACAACAAATCAAAAACATGTTGCCATTAATTATTAAAAAAACTAAAGCATAAAATGTCGTTTTTAATTGGGCAATGAAAAAATTATATTCATTGCTATTTAGCAACGTTTTTAAAATCTGTTGACAAACTTAGATGCTAAAAAGCTTTTATTTTTGTAGTGGGAGCTGTAGGGGCAACAGTAATAGCGTGAGGTTGAGGCGGTGTTTTGGGCACAAGGGAACCTTCACCGACCTCTAGTACATACTCCAAATCATCGATAAAATCATGATCAACACCAACATGTTCATTAGACATACTCTCGGTACCAACATTAGTAGAAACCGAATCAACATCTTTCACAAACGGGAATTCATTCTCAAAGAATTTAACATCACGGGAATTCATTTTCAAAGAATTCATTCCAAATCATATAACTTTTTTTTTTTTTGAACTGGAAATCATATAACTTTATAAGTTTAATGTACATTGTATTATCTGGATTATGTAAGTATATGAAAAAGACATTTTACTGTATTTTAATGTAATAGTATTATTTGGATCTACAACTTTTTCTAAATTTGTCTTTTTGCTTGCTTTTTTCTTCCAAAATGTATTAATCGGTCGATCTTCTTCAAGAACTTCATTTTTTTCTCATTGCAACAACAAAATTACATCAAAATCGCAATTAATTCCCAATAAAATTAAATATTACAATTTTCAATCAAATTTATAAAAACAAACACTCAAACTCAAGATAAACAAGTATGAATGTCAAATAAACAAGTATGAATGTTAAATTTGGTCTTACCTTTCGTTTTTATTTGTCAAATAAACAAGTATGAATGTACATGAGCATCGAAATTTTGCTTGAGGTTTGAGGAATTTAAATGGGTTTGAAGTTTTGTTTGGATAGAGAAAATGAACTTTTGGTAAAAAAAAATTGAAATGATTTGTAATTAATGTATGGTAAAAAAAAATAATTACAGTACTATTTATCTATTTCATTATACAAAATTTCTTTTAAAAAAATATATATATGCAAAATTGTTGCACAAAAATCTGATGTAATTTATAAATGAATACTATGTTCTTTATGTATATGTCCATGTACATTATAAATGAACACTATATTCTTTTATATGCTCATGTACATTAGTATATACCTGCATGTTCATTCCGTCTTTTTGTATTTTGTAGCGGATGCACCATGCGGATTGCGGATCATGCACCCGCCTCCACGAACCAAGCTTTGCTTTTTTTATTATTATAGAAACCTTTTTTATATTTATAAAACAACTCTGTTTCTCTAATGATAGTGGTCCACAATAAATTAACGTGAACTTGGCCCATTTAAGAATTTGTATAGTTTTTATCTCTATTCATACCCTCCATTAAGTTTTCCCTTACTTCATTAATTATTTCCCTCATTCTTATTTTTTTGCTTCGACTTTATTATTACGGAGTACTCCATACTAATCTTATCTAGTACTTACTAAGACAATTACTAATGACAGTTGACTTATTGGACTTAAATCTATTTTTATAAAATCGGAAACTTTTTATCCTCTTAAAAATATCCTGTATATTTTTTTTTATTTTTTTAAGAAAAAAAATCCTTAATAATCATGTAGTACAGAGTAGAATTTTATTGGTTTAGTAATTTTTCTCTAACAACCGACTTTCCATAGAATTACGCGTATTCCAAATTTGTGTTATAAATAGGCCAATTAATTTGCGCTAGAATTTCATACACAATACTTCTTCAATCCTTCTTTGTTAAACCCTTGGTGTTCTTACCTACAGAAATTATAATGGCTAAACTCAGCACGCAAAATTCTTCACAGTATTATGAGTAAAATGGCATCGTTAAGTTGTGTTTCTCATCCTAAGAAATCAGAAAGCAGCATCAAGAAGAAGCAGATCAAAACCACTATGTCTTCAACACCGGCTTCTTCTAATAAAGGTGTCGCGGTTAATCAAGGTGTTGCAACGATAACTCCGGTGAATCACCAAGGCAGCGACAACTCGCCGTGTCTTCCCAATAATCTCCCTGCTCGAGTTGTTATGCCCTCGTATTGACACAAATTTAGTGCTCGGATATTGAGTAATGTTAAGCTAGGCTTATGTATTGTAATGTTTAGTTAACTATTGGGCTTAGGCTTTGCCCGGTCTAGGTTGTATATATATACTCTTACACGTAATACACAAACCAAGGATTCACATTCTTGACATGGTATCAGGCCTAAAACCTTAAAACCCTGAAATTACAGATTTTTCTTTCGACGCTTAATCGTCAACAATGGAGGAAGGGAAGATTGATCCTGCTTCTCCGTTCTATCGTGGCTCCGGTGATCAGCCGGGAAATTTGATTACTCACGTAATCTTGAAAGGTGATAATTACTTAGCTTGGTCGCGGGCGATTACTTTGTCTCTGCGATCTAGAAGGAAATTCGTGTTTGTTGATGGAACCATCACCAAACCTACTGAGAAGAAGAAGCTGCTTGATTGGGAAACGGTTAATTCAATGCTCGTTTCTTGGTTATTGCGGTCTATGGATCCTAAGGTTGCGGCATCAATTCCTTACTTTGAGGAGGCGAAACGTCTTTGGGATTATTTAGAGACACGTTTTTGTGTCTCGAATGGCCCTTGCTTGCAACAATTGAGGGCGAGCATCACTGATTGTAAACAACACAAAGGCATGAGTATTGAGGAATACTACACGAAATTGTTGGGACCGTTTGACGAACTCACGCGAATCAAACCCCTTCATGGCTGCGAGTGCGGCTTATGTACATGTAATGTCGCTAGTAAATTTGCCCAGGACAAAGATGAGGAGATTTTGCACCAATTTTTAATTGGAATCGATGATGATTTCTATGCTGCGGTGAGGACGAACTTGCTATCCCAACAACCCCCTGCTGATTTAAACCGGGCGTATCAAGCCCTTCTTCAAGAGGAGGAGTCCCGTGGTATTGCTAGAGGGAAGGCTGATAAGGAGAAGTCGAAGGACGCTCATGTCTTTGCTGTCCCTACTGTCCGTGGGAAAGGGAATTTCGATCGTCAAGATCGATCGAAGCTGCATTGTAATCATTGTAAGAAGTCGGGCCATGACATTGATGGCTGTTTCGACCTCCATGGGTATCCCGAGTGGTGGTTCGAGCTCAAAGGGAAGGGAAGAGGGAGAGACAGAGGAGCTGCTGCCTCGTCGAAGGCACCTGCTGCTGCCCCTGCCTCTGTGCCGAAGCCAGCTGCTGCTTCTGCTCGTGCTAATGCTCTCACAAGCTCTACACAAGCTGCTGCAGGGGACTTGTCTTTAGCCGATTGATAAGTGGTTTATTTGACCACTTATTGTGTCAATTTAGGCCCGATTTTGCATTCATTTCCCCTCTTTCTAACCCGTTTTTGAATGAAAATATTTTGTCTCGGCTTTCCCTCTCTTGGTTTGTGTTTGTCCATGTTTTGCAGGTCTATGGACTCAATTTGGCAAGCATTCGGTGCATGCTTTGTGTTCAAGGCAAGGAAAATTGAGAATGGAGAGGGCGCTCCAGGTGGAGCAGGCGTGCACCCCTTAGGAGCGGGCGCTCCAAACCTTCTGCCAAGTTTCTGCCAAACTTAATGTCAAGTGCACCCTGTGAGGAGTGGGCGCTCCTCCTTAAACTTTCAAAATTGTATGTATTATGAAGACAGCTGGAGCGGGCGCGCAACGTTTCGGAGCGGGCGCTCCTCAGATGGAGCAGGCGCTCCTTCGCTGGGAATCCGTTTTCTTTTGACGGATTTCCCTATGTGTTTCGGGGAGCATAAATACTTCCCCCTTAGTTCATTTGCAGGAGAGACAGATATAGCCTTGTTTTTAAAGACTGCTCTTAGTTTGAAACATTCCTTTTAATGAATTTAGCTTAATTTTCATCAATTTAATCATTGTAATAGTTGGTTTCAAGTTTGTTTCTAAAGATTGGCACTTTGTAATCAACAATTTCAAGCCTCAATTAGTAACTTCCTTCTACTTTTCTCCATTTAATTTCTGATTTTATTTGTTGTTGCATGATATTTAAATCTTCTTAGTTCTTGATAATTTGTTTTTGGATGATAGTTATTTCAATTGTTAATCATTTTTCCTCAATTATTGAAGAAGTTAGAACCCTAATACTTGTTTGCTTGTTGATAAATATGAGTTGTGAGTAGTCTACTTGCTAGGGGTTGGGTGAAGCTCAACTTTTTGGGTTATTTATGTAAATGTGGGAGAAGCATTGATGCTTGTATTGAAATTAAATTGATTATATGAGATTGCTTGTTAGTTCTTCAATGATAGGATTAGCTACCCTTGATTTAGGAGCTTGATAGCATGATATGCTTAGTTTGACATGGAAATGTGAATGAAGCAT